CTCCCTAACCTTCCCCTTTACCTCCCCCACCCCTCTATTGCCACCCCCTTTTAAGTAAGAGGGTGAAGGGGAGCCACAGCGCACACGGGAACTGACTTGGAAGGCAAGGAAGATGGGCATCCTCAGCGTAGACTTGCTGATCACATTGCAGATTCTGCCAGTTTTCTTCTCCAACTGCCTCTTCCTGGCGCTCTATGACTCGGTCATTCTCCTCAAGCACGTGGTGCTGCTCTTGAGCCGCTCCAAGTCCACTCGCGGGGAGTGGAGGCGCATGCTGACCTCAGAGGGGATGCGCTGCATCTGGAAGAGCTTCCTCCTGGATGCCTACAAACAGGTGAGCGGGCCAAGGGGCTGCTTAGGTCAGCAGGGGCAGGGGCTGCCCTGGGACTGGAGGCCGCTGGGAGCATTGGGGGGAGATTGTGGAGCCTGTGTGGAGGCCGAGGGGTTATGCTCAAGTGAGCGCCTGCCTTGACTTTCTACACCTGTCACGGGAGTCAGATTTGACAGGTAGTAAGCCACGCTGTGTGACCTAATAAGGAGTCTTTGTAATAAGGGTCATTTAATGGCTTGCTGTGATTTCAGAGTAGAGGGTGTTTGTGCCGGCAGGAGAACTTTGGGAAAAGTATGAAGATGCTGGGAGAGGGCGAACTGCTGCATTTCCCATGCTCTTATTATAAACTGGGGTTCCGATGTTTTGCTTGATGAGATGCTAGGTGAGCTGTGTTGGGAAAGACAGTTCAATGGGTGAAAAGCAAGTGGCGGTGCGGGGCGCGGGTGGTTGGGGGGGGGGCGGAGGTGGCGAGAACATGCTACCAAAACTCAGGGAGAGGACAAGGCTGCAGGAATGATCACAGCAGGTGTGCTTTGGCATACTATCTGCATCATTTCTGGGAGAGGTAAGAGTTAATGTAAGCGAGCCCGTGTTCAGCATCATCCTCTATATTGATTCGATCTGAACCCTTTTCAAAGGGTTATCAGGCCCTGTGTCCCAAGTTACTAGGTAACAGTTTGCAAAAGGAAGATCTGGCTGTCAGAACTCCAGACTTTGTAAAAGAAACCACATTTGCTTTGTTTCTCAGAAGTGAAATAAGTTGTCTTAGAAAGAGCAGATGCGTCTACGGTTCATTCAGTTTCAAAGCTGTTCCAAGGCATGCCTTGATCACTGGAGCAGCAACCTCACTTACCTGAGGAAGTCAGGTCCCAGGGGCTGCTCTCTCAAAGCCAGAGTTGAGACCTTTGTTTCTCAGTGAAGCATGCTGTCATTTTAGCCTTTTTTAATTTTTATTTTTTATGCTCGGAGGATCTTCAACTCATCTTAGGAACAAAGTGGAACATTTTCTCATGAGTCAATTTGCCCCTTCTCCCCCATGCCCATATAACTCCTGAAGGTCCCTGAGCAAGAAGAATAGACCTACTTGGCAAAAGTTGCTATCAAAGCAGTCTTGGTTTTCCCTCACAGTATTGGGGGATCTTGTCCAAGTTGCCAGGGAAGGGGAGTTTGGAAGGAATATGGAAGGCAATGAAGTGATGCACCTTAAGCAGGCAACACCCCAAAACCAGAATAAAACTCAGAATAAAAGAGGGGGAAGGGAATGAGACCTCCATAATAAGCAGTAGAAAACTAAACCTATGCCCCCGGAAAGGAAAAGAAGTAACTTCTAGTCACAAAGAATCCAGAGTAGGGTTGTTCCATTAAAAATCAAACAAGTGTTCAGGAAGAAAATATTCATTGTGCATTAGGGAAGTTTTACTATAACACATGCCTTTGATATTGAGAGAAACCTCCAGAAGGTTTTCATTTTTTTCTAAAGACAGGAGAATAGTTAGAACTCTTGTCAATCAGGAAAATTTATTTTATAATTATATGAAATGATGCTCAAATTTCTAACAGGAAAACTCATGTATATTGTGTATGTGGGGCCAATGGGAGATTTGTTAGGTATGAGGGGATCATTTCATTTCCACAAGTGTATACATTGAATGTGAGATGTTTTGTTTTTGTATTTGTAGATCTTAGGAGATAACATGGAAATGTCAGTGGTTTAATCTCAGCATATTAGATTCTTACTTTTTTGAAAGAGAATTGACTTTTGCCTAGAAAAGAAAAGTCACTGCCTGGGAGAATTTTACGAATATGAGTGTATACTTATGTAAACATCTCTCACATAAAATATAGGGGCTGTGAGGTTGCCCACAAATATTAAGCAAGGTTGTTTTCCCATTAAGCAACTTATTAAAATTAAGAGAGAAAAACAAACAAATACCTCCATAATCGACTTTATTATTTATTTTTTTCATAAATGTATAGTGTTCTATTGTGTTGCAATATTTTGTTATTCCTATTCCAGGAAATTGAGGATGAGTGATTTGTTTTCTTTTCTTTTCTTTTTTTTTTTTTTTTTTTTTGCCTATGGCTTGTGCATTCCTCTCCTGTATTGTTATGCCTACTGCTTTGATTAGTGACCAAGTTCATGACTGATGTTATTAAGTTTGCTTTTAATGATTTATATAATAGCTAACACCATGAGAAGAAACAACCCAAGAACCCGCCTGTCCAGAGACAAGACTGGACTGGGTGTGTAATGAATGGAAACATGGCAAACCCAACTTGCACTGAACTTAGGTCTCCTTCTGCCACCCAGTAAGTAAGGCAAGGGTAGTGGTGCTGGTGGTGGCATTTGAAGTTCACTCAGAATCTCTTTCCTGAATACTGTTGTCTTCTGTGCCACCATCTCTGGGTGTAGCCATTTCTAGGGACACACTGGAGGAGGTACTGTTTGAGATAGCATCACAGTATTTCACAACCCCGACTTGCACTATTTTGAGACTGCCACCCCAGAAGCAGAGTTTTCCAGGATGAGTGTGTGCATATGAGATACGATAAAACATGTCATTTCTAATTCTCCCTGTTGTTGAATGTCAGATACATGGGAATATTTTAAGAGAAAGTGAAATGAAAGTGTTATCCTTGGGCTTGGCTGTTACACAAGGCAACACAGAAGTTAAAACAGAACAAAATAAAACAAATAAACAACAACAACAAAAGCCTCTTCTTCATGAACATGTTAAATGGGATTTGAAATTAACTTTGTAGGGAAGCTTGCAAAGATAATTTGGGTTTGGTTAGAGGGTGTTCCAGGCATTGCTTTTATGAAAAGGCAAGTCTATAAAAACTTATAGATTGAGGTGAATAACAGATATTTGTCATTTAAGTTTCCTTTGTCAGTGTCATTGCTTTTAACACTGCATCCTTCTGCTGATGCTCAAAGACTAAAAATGCAACCAATGAGCAAACTGCCCTGTCTGGGAGCTAGCCCCTACCTAAATGAAGTGTAAAAGTAAACACACAGTATAGATGCCGAGAAGCAGTTTAGCTTCCTCACGGTTAATATGGCAGTGGTACAGAAAACATATTCATTTGAACATATAATTTTGGTTTTGAAAAGGTCTCTTTAACATATCCTCCTCCTCCTCATTCACCTCAAGCCTTTTGACACTAGCTTCTACCATGGAAAATGGCTCTTTTAAGAGAGAAACATTCTCCAAAGAACACAAAGAAGGCCCCAGCCAGAACTTGTTCATCCATTGGATAAAACAGTGGGAACTGATAAAGCTCAGAGCTGTGTTTCAAGGTAGGAATCCAAAAGAAAATGGCCAGAAGTGAACTGAATTCAGAGGAAAGAGTAGGTAGTTTATTCTCCAACTCTGATTTATTTGGCCAATTTGAATGTAAATGGTTAAACCGCTGCTTAATAATTGTTTGGCTATGTTCGTAAGGACATTGATGTAGCCTGGTCATTATGTCAAAGAATTGGAAATTTCCTGGTAGTGAATGAAGCCATTCCTGGACTTTGAACAGCAAGAAGGATGTAGAAAAACTATTCTGCTACCCCCCTCCCATATTTATCACTTGCTTTACTTTCTATCATGAGATTAGGTGATATTTTGTCCAGTGGAAAAGAAAAAAAATGTTAGTAGTATATGCTCTGTTTCCAGCTTCTAATTGACGAATGGTCCTTCCTTTGTTTCTTTCACAGTCCACATGTTCACGCAGCATTGCCCTCCCCCATCTCTCCCCACCCCATGCACTGAACACTGTGAGTGAAAGAAAACCCGTCATCAAGGGAATCAGATTTATAAACATGCTATGTAGTTACACTCTTGCTCATATTTATAAACATGGCTCTCGTAACATTTGAGCTTGGCCCAGAGATGCTCCCTGTCATAAAAATGCAAACCCTTAATGTACCTCCAGTGTTGGTGATGTTGTGTTGACGTTGATTACAAAGATGTAAGAAAGGACCATTGTAATAGTGTAGATGAGAGAGATAAAAGTCAGTGATGACGATATTGCATTTTACGTACGTACGTCCTTTCTGATTGTGGCAAAATAAAGGGACCTTTTGGGAACATCGGAACTTCAAGACCAATTAGTGGAAATGATGCTTCTTGTGTTTGGGCATTAAATACTGGGCAGGGTTCTCTTTAGAGCCGCTAATGCTGGCAGGGAAAGACGTACCGACCTAATTACTCTTCCGCAAGAGTAAAAAATGCCTTTTGAATGCCTCTTTGGCAAATATGTCTCATTAAGGACAAAAACCAAACACAAACCCTCTAAGAAGGAGAAATTAAGATGATAGGTAACTTGTGCCACTGTGGGAAATTAAAACAAAGTTTGCGAGTATCAGGGATAACTTGTTTTTGTTGAGCTTCTTTCCTGCCGCCTAAATGTTATTATTATGGAACCAGCTTTATTTTCTTCATCATTTTGGCTCTTTGTCAAGGAATGCTTTGCTCCTGGGAAGAGCAAAGAATCTTCCACCATTGAAGACAGTGGTGATTCTCCCATTCCATCTCAGCAGGGTGCATAGCCAAGCAAACCAAGAAATTCTCCATTTGAAACTCTGGTCATAATAGGAATTTAATTTTCATGGTGACCAAATGGGAAATGAGAAAGGAACAATAATGTCCTTGTAAAAAATTTTCTTTGCAGTTAAATGCAAACTTTATTATTTTAAATTTCTATTTTTTTCTTTATCATTGCTAAATTATCCTCCATCAGTAGGTTTTTAGCCAATTTGGACAAATTGTATGATTAGTATATGATACTTATAAAAGCAGACTACTGGTCTGCTCACATTTGGACTTACAAATCATGGGTGTGTGTTTTCCCCTACTGGTATTAATAACATTGATCTTACCTATGCATTTCTCTTACCTGGTCATTCTCATGAGCAGGATATCTGCTTATTACATGCTAATCTGTAATAGGGTCATAGATGCTCAACAAAATAAAGAGGATTGACTTTCATTTTATACAGTAACCAGCTGAGGTAATCCAGAACAGAGCAACAGCATTAGGTATTGATGATGGTGGTACTCAACAGTAGGTTTACATTTCTAAATTATCTATCTCAGCTCATTCATCACCCAACTATGGTTATATTGATTACAGGTCAAGGTTATACTAAGTGTAAAATTCTTCACTGACCCCTACATAGGATTAGAACAACTATCATCATTCAATAATTCATTCATATATATATATATATATACACACACACACACACACACACACCCACACACACGACACACACACATATATACACACACACACACACACACACACACTGATCCCGGCTTAACAAAATGCCAAATCCTCACACACAAAGAACATTATGTATTTAGTAACTTTCTTAACTTTTAATTTTAGAATGAAAGTGTTGTATTTGTTCTAAATTTTCTAAAGTAAATTAGTATAGCTGTATTTTGGAAAGAATTATGTGGCTGACTTATACTTTGTCACTAAAAAGGAAGAGAAAGTGCTTTAACTTTCCAAGAAAATTAACTACAGGTAATAAGAGAGGCACCTGTGACTGAAGCATCAGATTAGATTATTCAGTTGAATAGTCAGGAATAATGCAAGGATCAACAGTGCTGCTTGGATGAGAGCCATGGGCATCGGAGGCCCACTTAACAAGACCACACACTTGTTGGTTGGTCTTAAAAATGACTCCAAAAGGTAGATGGATGTTTTCACCTTCTAGGAACTTACAAGTCTATAGTCCAGACATGATTTTTTTCCTGTGTATGAATTGCTCAGTTAACATAAAGTACAAGAGCTAGTGGATTCAGACTGATTGAATGTATTCAGATCTTGGTTGTATAAGTATATTGAGGAACACAGCCCAACAATATGGTTAAAAGCAGCCATGCTAGAATTATTACTGCTATCTTAATTGGAACAGATCGAATGGTAAGGCAATGGTTTTGCTACCTTCCACCTAAATCTACAAAGAATTACAAAAATAACTCATAAATTATAGGTTTGTAATATCTTTAAAATGTATATCTTTACATTTTATGTATATTTTAATACCTCAGAGACAAGTGTGGCTTATATAAAATAATAAACCAGTCATAGAAAGACAAGTACCGTATGATTTCACTCATATGTGGAATCTAATGAACAAGATAAACAAACAACATAGAAACAGAATCATAGAAAACACTGACAGCTGTCAGCAAGGAGGGAGGTTTGAGGCTGGGTGAAAAAGGTGAATGGATTAAGCAAAACAAACAAACAAACAAAAAACCTCATAGACAAAGACAACAGTATAGTGGTTACCACAGGGAAAGGAGGGTTGAGGGGAGGTAGACGTGGGTAAAGAGGGGATAGATGGTGATAGAAAGAGATGACTTGGAGTGGTGGACATAATACAATATACAGATGATGTACTATAGAATTGTACACCTGAAACTTATGTAATTTTATTAACCAATTTCACCCCAATAAATTTAATAGAAGAGTAAAACATAAAGAACAATAAGTAAATGAAATAATCCATCTAAGGGGATTAATAAAGAAGATTAATATAAATAACCTTTCCCCTGATAGTGATTGAAAAACAAATGTACCTATTGAAATCATACCAACAGTTTGCTTTTTTAAGAAGCAGAGTATTATTTTAAGATTTCTTTTAGAAAGGTACCAGTACTTATTTTAAACCTGCCCTGCTAAGATTTTTCAGAAGGGAGAGTCAGGACTTCTAATTCTTTCC